TTCTCAGACATAATTTCTTTGTAAAACATTACAATAGTAGATATTAAGAGCTAAAACAAATATTTTGAAACAAATATCAACACAAATTTGACAATTATAACTGCATTTCATACAGCTAAATCGTGCCACAATAATGTCCAAATAACACAATACAGCCATGCCCGAGGCGGGTACTCGAACCCGCTATCCTTCGTCCGTGATCAGTACGGCGCTACTGCCTTGCGATCTCGGTCATCACCGCAATTACAACACGTCCTTGAAATACGTGAAATAAACTATTCAATATTCTGTGACAGCTTTTCTTGTTTCATGACAGTCACAACATTTTAAAACAATTTTATTCTGGAAAGCTATATGACTGAACACGCTGACCTGAAACTTTCATCAAAGCACTTCTGATAACGAAAATACTGGTACAGATAAAACAACAATGCAAACCTAACGAACACGTCTTCATTCATCAATGTACATCCGCATCCCTCAAACAATTAGGTACCCAGTACTGTAGACCTTGTGAACCTTAAATGAATGTTTTCACTACACGCATAAGAAACAATCTTCATAGGAATTAAGCAACTATTAATAGTATAATCTAGTCGTTATTGCGAGAGCGGGTTTGAATTAATAATAATATCGATAAATGCTGAACCAGCAAAAATTTAAGAGAATGTTAAAGAATATCTCATCCTATTGATTACGGTATGGAAAACGTTTCCTTGAGGCCTTAGCCTCAAAATTTTAGTTGTTACGGCCCTTGAACGCTTTGTTTAAAATTTACTTAACGGTTTTACTAAGTGCTGCGGACGGCAATTGATATGAATATTTGGATGCATTTGTTAAACAAATTCGTTATATTTGTAAAGTTAAAGTGCAATTCGTAACGTCTCCGTGAAATTATCTTTCTTTAGAGACCACATTTATAAAGATCGATTGCATGTGAGTGCCACAATGGGTACTGAAATAATACAGGAGACGATTTAATTTTAAGGAAAGTTATTTTGTTTTTGATAAACAAAGTGTTATAACTGATCGTATATATTCCGGTTCAAAATAATGCGAATATAAATTCAATTTTACCTTAATTTGTACTAAACTACATTGTGAGTGAACAAAACATGCAATTGAGCAGTCAAAATAGACAATAGTACTTCATGTAGAAGTTTTGTTGCCGATCGAAAACAAGTGACTTAGGGCCGTATTCAAAGTCGACACTTATAGGATACGTAAACGCTGAAGTAATGAGCATTTACTTAAAATAAGTGAATCCTTATGACAGTTTCGTAATCATTGACCCCACTTATTCGAGAGTCGCACTCAGGCAATATTTCGCTACATAATATTTGGCAACATTGCTTTATTGGTTTCTAGATACGAATCTAGAGGCCGTGTCAATCTTGTTTATAATTTTGGGGGTTGTATGAACGTATGAAGAGGATCTGGTTTCATCGACAGACCTTCAACTGAAAATAAATTATTAATTTCATTTCGTTGCTTCGATGCGTTAAGTTCTGTGCGTATAATTGCTATTGGTAGAATGTTTCCGATTTTGCGTGATTAGTATTATTGGCGTGCGATATTTGTATAACATTATCATCAAGGGAATTTTAAGAAATTTTTAATATTTCATGATACCACTTCAGGTATTTTTTATGTAATGATTCTACATGTTGAGGGCTCATTTATTCTATAGAAATCTGCACATATAATATGAAAAAATGTGATGCATTCATATGATGCATTGTGATCATCATTGTAACCTGCAAAATACGCCCCGGTGATCTACAGTTGAAATTATGATGTTGCATAAAATCTGTAAGCCATTAGCATTTTTAGGACTGTTGGTAATGGTTACACTCTATTCCTTAATCCCACGTTGTGAATGAGCAACGGAGACACTAATGTTTACAACCGTATTCTTGTCAAAACGATATCTCTTCTGAAATTCTTGTTACTTATGCATTTCCAAACGATTTTACATGTTTCTCAAATATCACTTTGGTATATGATCTTCCATATTGATTTCAATAATTCCCAAAACTCATAAAAATCTTATATATTATTTCATGTTGAAAAATAAGGGCCCACTTAATGGTCCTGATAAGCTCACTTATAAGAATAAGTTAATGCTTAATCATACACTTATGTAAGGACTATAAATTGCAAATGTAAATACGTAAACACTAACTGTTCCTCAAAAATATGTGTCGAGACCTTGTTTTCCGCGACCAGAATTATTTAAATATTGGCAGTCCAGGAGACGCCGCGTCTTAGGCGTGATTGCCGACGATTCGGTCGGCACAATTGGCGGACCTTTCATTAGAAATAATAATTTTCTAGTTTTTGTACGCATTTACGAGTAGGTCTGGAGGAGCTCCCCTCTTGGAAAAACATTATCATTAAACACTCGTATCTGCTCGGGTAAAAAAGCGTCGTGACGCGTTCAAGGCCATTTCTAGAAGTGCGCAACACATCTGGCGCACAACGCCAATGCGATGATCGTCGTGGATTCCAATATTGTGACGATCTGGCCTTGAAAGAGAAGTGCCCTCGTACTCTGGCCAGACGGTTGGGACACTTGTCTCGTGTCTGCGGGGGTCCTTGCAATGCGCTCCGTCGCGCCAGGATGCCATTGCGCCGCTCAACTCGCTCAGATGGCGCTGCGCGTGGCACGCTCGTGGGAGCCGATGCTTGGTGTTTTTGTACGATCGATCGTCGCCGGTTTTACTTATATTACTTTTCTTTTCACAGCGAATAAATGGATAATATTATATCATTATGCTTTGGGCATTAAGTCTGGTGGTAAATTCTAATACTTTGACAATGTTATTGCGTTTTAGGCTGCGTAACTAAATGCAGAAGGCCTCAGAGACAACTATTTTATCGCCTTAACACCTTCAGTTTCTATCATAATTTATTAACCTACAAGACTTTACATTGTGGGAAAACTCCCCACTAGTTCTGCAGGCAAGCTATTCCATGCCTCGATAGTCATATTTACAAAAGAGTGTTTTCCCAACTACCGTTCTCTGTTTCCTTGGATGTTTTTTTCTAATATGGTCGTGATCTGCAATGTAAACGTGGTTCATACAGTCTTTCTTGAATTTTCTTCCCATGCAGAATTTCTTTTCCAATGCTTGTAAGTATGCTCATAACCTTGCCTTTTTCCCTAAGGCTCGCCAATGATTCCTGTTGATCTTTGTTGGAAGTATTTTCCTACCAAATTTCGGTATAGTTCATTGGAACTCATCTATAACGAATCTCACACTAGCTCCGATACTCTAATTCAGGTTGTACAATGGTGTAATGCTAGTTTTCATGAATTGTTACTTCCCTTCTTAACACGTCGCCATTGCATTTGTAAAGATTTCCACGCTTTTCCGCCAGTAAAGGTACGGGGTTACTCCTCTCCATCCAAGTTGGTTAAATAAATTATATCCTCCAGATATTTACAACTGTGTCTATGGATATTTATTTTACCCAAGTAAATACTTTGTTCTCCCATTATTTATACTACAAGTAGAACTATTTTGCATTTACCCAGATTTACCTTCATTCTATTGATTTCCGTCTATTCTTCAAAGCATCGCCAGTCGCGCTGTAATTTATTCTCATCCGATGCTTTCTCGATCTTTTTCTAAATAACGTAGACGTCAACAAATGTTATTTTTTTAGCCTATTCGATCTACTGTATCATTTACATACGAATACCAAACATATCATTTACGTACTCGAATACCAAGCATAGTAACGGTCCAAGTTCATTACTCTGCTGAATCCCAGACGTTACACTGTTTCCGGTTTCCCACAGGCCAATTCTCACCCTTACTGGTGGTGCCGTTTTAGAAAATCCGTAATCCATAGTATCACTCTCAAGCCTAGCTCTATTCTATCTAGTTTATCAAGCAGTCTATCATAAGAGACAAGATGAAAAGCTTTCGTGAAGTCTATTACTGCTGCATCGATTCTATCACCCGCTTCTAGTGCATTCACGATATCCTAGCAAAAA